CCTGTGGTTTAGGTCGGGGGAGAGTCCCACATAACCCGGGTCACTTCCCCCGAAGTACCCGGGTATGCGTAACACATTTCCCCAGCGTTATCAAAAAAAAAAAAAAGAAAGTAATTTTTATTTTTAAAGCAGAGAATTTGTGTTTTAAAATAGAATTTGTTTTAGTCCGGATCTACAATAGGTGTTTTATGCCTTATGCCGTAAGAAACTGACCAATTACAGTCGAATCCGAGAAGAATAAGCGACTGTGATTCGCCCATTTCTTATGGCTTAAGGCTTAAAACCCTATTGTAGATCCGGGGTTAAAAGAGAGAATTCGTGTTTTTAAAGCAGAAAATTTGTATTTTAAAACAAATTTGTGTTTTTAAAGCAGTGAATAGTACTACATGTAGGCAATCAAACTGTAGGCAATAATACATGTAGGCAATCGAGCTGTAGGCAATCGAGCCGTAGGCAATAATACATGTAGGCAATCGAGCTGTAGACAAATAAGATGTAGGCAAACAATGCAATCGATTTGTAGGCAAACGGGCTCCCATATAAAATACGAAAAACTTAAAAAGTATTGACTATTCAAATAGGTGTTTTTTATAGCTTAATTTTAATGATTATTTTTTATATGGGAATACTTACATTATCCTTGTCTTCTTTATTAAATAAATGAGTTATTGTTTGATTTCCTTGGGCATCATTTTGTTTTATTTTTTCGGGAAAATAACTTCGAAATTGTTTTTCATGTTTGGATGATGCCGTATAAGGCCAGATGTACCACTGTTAGTCATTTTTATTATTGTATTTTCCCCTTTCACTGTACATAATTTGCATGTTCCTATTTTGTTTTGTTTTTTAATCTTTATAATTTCATAAAAATCTTTAACTTTTTTACGAGGGCGTATTTCTGACTCACAGACATCATTTTTACTATTACTATTCATATCGTTTGTTCTTTTTGAAGATTGCTCAGTCGTTACGCGCTCGAGACATTGACATTCCGAATTCATCAAAGACTAAAGCGAAAAAGCAAAAATAACATTAAAGTACGGCTTGCTGGTTACATTTTCATTTGTTTTTTCGATTATCGCGTGTCACTCGCGGCTAAACGAAAGTCGAAATGACTAGTTCACATTGGACGCGATGGGCGATGAGCGACGAGCGATATCCAATGAAAGTTTTGCTTTGCATCGTCACATGAGAAAAGCAGAGCTTCCATTAAGCCGCGTATACACCTAGCGAACGAACACTGAACGAAAAACGAACGCGAACATTCGGACATTTGCGTTCATGTTCGTAGTTCGTTCGTACATTTTTCTCGATTGCATCGAACACGAGTCGAACACCCATTCGATCTTGATTCGGTGTTCGGGTCATTGTTCGTTATAACCTTATTGCTTGTGTGCTTGTGAGTTTTGTGACAATGTTTTTATTTTATAACTGATATTTTGTAAATCACATAATTACATTTAAATTTGTGCTGTAAATATATACACAGAGATAAATTTCCCAAGCAGTACATTTTTTTAATTTATTGTGATACAATATTATATGTTTAGGATTCCACGATAGTTCACGTTCTTTATAGAAATTATTAGTTTTATAATCTCTTCTTCAGTCCACTCCATAGTATTTACGCAATCTTTTTCGAAAACGCCAATACGATAATCTTTATTTAAAGTTTTCAACTTTATGATACAGAATATTAGTACAGAAAAGCACAGAAAAGGTCATAGTGATTCAGGCGAACAGCCAAATAGCGAACACGTGATTTGCACGTCTACACCGCGCACGAACCATGCACGAACCGCGCACGAACCGCGCACGAACCGCGTACGAACCGCGCACGAACCGCGCACGAATTGTTTTTGATGTACCGCTTCATGAGGGAACCGAGTCGAATGTTCGATTCTCATTCGCTTTGACGTATACATCTGCTGAACGCAACCAATGAACGTTCGCGTTCACTGTTCGTTCGGTGTTCGTTCGCTATAGGTGTATACGCGGTTTAACGCGACGCGGACAGCTGCTTGATACCGATAACGCACGCGATCGCTATCGCCTTGTTATTTACTCACCTGATTTTCACGTTGGTGCTGTCGACCATCTCGCCGTCGCAATTCCACACGCTGAGCCGTGAGTTCGAGCGGGTCGTGTTCGGCTCGTTCTCGAATTGCAGCGTCGGCAGGGCGCGGAATGTGAATTCTCTCGCCCGGTAGACCTCGGCGAATGGTAGCTCGTACTGAAACAGCATTGCAACTCCTTGTAATTTTTCATCCTGAGTCTTAATTAATCCTCAGTTACCATACCAGTGCGAACTCGCACCAGCAATTTTTGAAAAAAAAGTTCACTTTTCTATTTATTACTTTCTTAATTAACAATTTCTTGCAATAAAATATTGTTTTTGCTTAATTTTATTATTACCAATAGGTTCTCTGGTGAAAATTTTTCTCAGATTTTTTCATATAATTTTTCAGAATTTCTATATAATTTTATAACTCTCACATTTTTTAATACAAATTAGAACACTTCTCAAAAAATTTATACCTATCTTTTCTTAAAATTTTTCATATACTCGTATGTTAATTATGAAATATCGTAAGATTTCTAAAATTTTTTGTAAATATAATTTCTGAGGAAATGTTATTAAATCTAAAAAATAAAAAAATCTTTTTTTTAAATTATGGGATGAGAAATTTTAAAATTTATTTGTATGAAAAATTCTGAGAGAAGATGTAAAATTCCCGAATATTTTTGAGTATTTCTGAAAAACATTCCAATTTGTATAAAAATTATGAGAAAAATTTTCACCAGGGTTCCCAGGAAAATTTTATCCCGAAAAATTGTATAATCGAACTACTTTTGCTTTTTTCGTTTCAAAATTACACATGATGAAAAATGACAAAGCCAAATTCGCATTAGTGTGGTAATGCTGTGATCATGACTGAAGTGTGCTAACTCAGGATTAAGTATAATTATAGTACATAATAATCATATAATAATGCATAGAAGTTCAATGTATCATATATCGACGATACACACGACGGTAAAGGCGTTAAATATCTGTAAGCAGAGATTGATAATTGATAGCAAACATGGCTATTAAAGCGTCAAGCAAAAAGATTAATATAATTGGCGATAATAATCGGAATAAATATCTGAAACTCTCGTATAGAAACGCGTACCACAGTTTTCCGTTTGCTGGACAGCCTGAGCAATAATCTGACATTGTTTATTAAGGATGTATGTCGTATCAGGATCACGTCCACGCAGCCGTCACCTACGTGGCAGTGAGGACTGAAGCCCATAGGACACCTCGAGCACGCGCACGACACGTTCGCGCCAAACACCATGAAGAACTTTCCTCTGACCGTCACCCACCCTACGAAGAAGACATAGGTATTGTTCGATTAATTTTAGCTGGTTTTGTAACTGCATTATGTACTTGATTTCCATTCTCTTTCGTTTTTTAACACTCACTGGAGATTTCCTGGTCGGGGATGCTATTGTGCATGTGTTGCAGGCAGCGTAAACAATTCTTCATGCACCTGGTGCTGCCTGCTGGGTGACACGGGTCCGACAGCAGCTCGATCTCACCCTCGTAACCCTTGTTTGCTATTATCTTTTTAAATCCTAGAAACGAAAAGATCTAATTAGTCTAATAGAAACCCCATCCATACTCATACATAGAATGTTTTATTACTTACATCAGTTACATTGTATATGAATATTGATTACGATACGGCAAATCAATAATTATTTGTTTAATTATTTAATTTCGTATTTATGTGATAAATCAAGATTTGATTAAGATAAAATTACTTTTGTATCGCAACTCGAGCCGGACAATCTTTGCTTAATGACAATTCTTCGCGTTAAATTAAACAACCGAAAAACTCGACCTTGGTAAAAATTTTTCTCAAAATTTTTATGCGAAATGGAACACTTTTCAGAAATATTGAGAAAGTCTACATCTCTTTTTAGAATTTTTTATATATGAATTCTGAAGTTTTCTCAGATTTTTTAGATTTCAATCATTTTACAATTTCTGAAAAAATACCTTGAATTCTTTCAGATTTTATAAGATTCTATCAGAAATTATAAGATGAGAAATTATAGAAATCCTAGAATATTTCAGAATTCACACATATAAAAAATTTTAGAAAAATGCTGATCTTCTCGGCACTTCTAAAGTATTCCAATTTGTACAAAAAAGATCTGAGAAATTTTCTAAAAAAAAATTTCAAAATTATTCAGAAATATTGAAAAACTATATGAAAATTCCCTTTCCTTCTCAATTCTTTATTCCCACATAGAAAAAAATGTTTGATTGACTAATTAGAATTCTGGTGGAAAATGAACGCGATCCAGAATTCTAGTTAAATCTACAAGATTTCTTATTAAATGTATTAAAATTCTAGTTGAAATAACCAACCATTTAGTACATTTAATCAGAAATCTATAATAGACTTAATCAAAATTCTGGATCGTTCGTTTCCCACCAGAATTACAATTAATTCAACCAAACATTTTTTCCGTGCATAGTCCTGTTGTTTGCTGTGTCATCAGTCTTTGTACGTCTATAAAATAATCCTTTCAATCTGGAGAATTCCTGACATTTTTGCGTTATTATATCTTTAAAATGCGAATCAGTTACAATGGATATATTAATAGAAGTAAGAATCTCAATTCGGATACAAAAAAGCTTAAATATTAATTACACGTATTGTTCTTGATATATTCTCACACTGAATAATTTTAAAATTAGGTCGATTTATTGATAATATATATCAGTTCGAGAATTCTGATCGTTATATCACAATTGAAATAATCCATTGAAATAATTTGATCAATGAAGAAATGCGACTTATGAAAATTGTATTCATCGCAAATTTAGAAGAACTTTAATTTGAACTCAAATTTGTTTTAATATTTGACTTATTATATAAGATAGGGTTTGTTTTTATGTATTAACATTGAAAAGGTCCTACTTTAAAGACGAAACGTTTGTTAAAAAATTTGAAAGACAGTAAATATTAGCGATCAAGAGATAGCGTTGGATCTTAGTTCTTCTTACCTTTTATTACTACATGAAAAATTCTGAGAAAGATCTTCACCAAAGGGTTCCTTACCTGACCAGTCGTATCTACAGGGTCCCATCCAGCGAAACTTTTCGCTGTCGCGGATCACGTCGCCCAGATAACCGTAGCTGAACACGCTGGCATAAAGCCTGAGTAAGGTGCGATTGCTGTGGACCGACGAGATGTCTAAACCAATCGAGTCGCCGAAGATGATATGTATAGCGGCGGTCTGCACGTCGGTGGTGCCATGCAGACTGTAGGCGACCGTGTCGGTGCTACCGCTGGGTATAACGCCAACGGGTAAGGCGGGACTAGGCAGCCTGGCGTCAGGGTCGTTGGGATCGATCTGCTGATCCTTCGCTGCCCTCATAATCAATCCGTTGAACGCCTCGGCGAAGGTACCATCGCCACCGATGCACACCACCGCCTGCGAACGCGAAAAGTTTAGTTTGAGGATACTTCGAATTCTTTTACTTACGTATCGTACAAAGATGAAAAATAATGCGTGTTACTTGTAACGCTGTTACTTTTATCGTTACTTGTTGTAATAACGATTTGATGACGTTAAGAATTTCTTATAACTGTAATATCACATTGGAAAAGTCACTCGTTGCCTGTAATGAGTTTAAAAAGTCACTTGTTACTTAAAAAAGTAACTCGATAACCCAGGTTGAACCTTAGGCTCCCTAAGAGGAGAAAATAACAGCTCAAGTGTCTAATTTTAATCTTCTTCAATTTCCTTGGAAATTCTTCAATATTTTATTTTTTTTAAGGAAGAGGGTTACTAGAAGTAGCCCAACCCTTCTAGAGTCCCTGGAGGGTGATAAACTACATATATTCGTAGGGTGTGTCATTTTATGACAGATATATGATTCTTCTGTATGACCTATAATTTTTTCTTTATGACCTAGTAGAGGTACAATTTTTGTAAATACGTTTTAAATCTAAATATATTGTGAATATTCGGAAAATATTACAGATTGCTTGATTTTCTATAAATTTTATATAAATAGTATTTAATATTTTTATTGCATAAAAATCTATATTAAAATTTCTAAATCCAAGTTTCTGAT